TACAGCTCTGTGCCTCAGTGAGTCACAACCAATAATCCCCCCATCTCATAAAGCAGCAGGGAACCAGAAAGGCTAATTCCTCCCCATCCCTTTCTTTCCTATATATATTTTGTTTACTGAGCATTAAAATAGCATTTTGCCATCACTAGACCAATTACTATCTATGCTGCTATGGAAAATAATAATCTCCCTGTATAATGCTCAACAAGCCTCAGCCTTAGGAAGTTCTTTCAGTATTCACTTTGCATTCTTCATGCTGTGTATGAGCCCACTTCTTCTTATACTGCCCTCAGTGAAGCCAGAAGATATTCACTCATTTGACAAGTATTTACTGCATGCTTACTCTGTGCCAGGCATTGTGATGCATGCCAAGGACTCAGATCTCTGACTTCATGAGGCTAATAGTTCAGTGGAGGAGATAAGTATTAAACAAGTTATTGGATAAAAATATTTCATTGCAACTATGATAAGTATAACAGAAGAGATCATGCACAAAGTGCCCCAAATGAGTTGTTAATCAGGACCTGATTGACTTAGGAGGGTCAGAGAAGGGCACCCAAACAAGATATCATTCAAACTGCAATCTGAAGGATGAACAGAGATGGAGGGAGAGGGGGAAGGGAGGGAGGGAGAGGGAGGGAGGGAGGGAGGGAAGCCTAGGAGATGAATGAGCCTGTGTGAGGGTTCTGAGGCAGGAGGGGTCAGGTGTGCAAATGAAGATAAAAACAGAGTGTAAAGCGGGGGAGGGGGACTAAGGGGTTAGATCAGGCAGAGCCTCATAGGTCATCTTAAATATTGCAAGCTTAGTCCTAAAATAATGGGATAACACCAAGGATTTTAAGAAGGATAACAACATGGTCAGGTTTTTATTGAGAAGCATCACTCAGCACTATGAAGATAAAGAATTGAAGAAGGCAAAATGGAAGCAGGGAGACTAGTTAGAAGCTGTTCAGCAGACTGGGCAAGAAACGAGAGCAGTCAGATTAGGATGACTTGGCAGAAATGGAAATAACTTTTACAAGTCAAGATCTACCTAGGGGATAGAATATACAGTATGAATAGGTAGAACTGAGGGAGAGAGAGTACAAAGAGTAACTTGATGGTTTTGGCCTTGAATAACTAAATGATTTATAACTTCCCTAGAAATAGAGAATACTAGAGGGAAAGGAGCTAGTTGAAATTATGGGGGAAAGGGTTCACAAGTATTACAGTATTTAGTATCACACATGCTAAGGCCAAGATTTATCTGTGAGACACACAAGTGGAGACATTCAGTAGCCACTGGATATATGAGGTACCTCAGCATTAATGAACATCAGTCAAAATTATAGCAGAGTCAACACTCTACATTTAATTTTTTTCTAGATGGGGGTATGTTCTAAAATCGCACTGCTCAAAATGGAAGCACCTAGTCATAGGGGGGCTACTTAGATTCAAATTAAAAATTAGTTCCTCAGTGACACAAGCCACATTTCAAGTGCTCAGTGTGGTTGTGTCTCCTGTATTGGTCATTTCCATTATTACAGAAAGTTTGATTATACGGCCCTGCTGAGAACATCAGAGGGCTTCCTACTCACAATGCTCAGCTCTGATTAGTCTTCCAGTGAGTGCTCAACTGCCATTCTAACAACACTGAGAAATCCCACTGTCTTTTGTGCTCCAAACAAAGCTTTGATGTTGAAGATGAAAAAGATATAAGAAGATATGATCATCTTTGTTACTCCATACCTTCCGATCTTTAAAAAAAAAAAAAAANAAAAAAAAAAAAAAAAAAGATGGAAAAAAAAAACCTAACAAGATGAAGGATGAATGCCACAGAGAGAGTGTATGGGAACCCTGGGGGTGGGGTGGAGGGTGAACTCACATTGTAAAAGTACTATCAGATCAATGTCAGAGGAAATTAGGTGCCAAGGAGGCATTAAGGAATAAAGCCTTCATCTGGATTTTGACAAAAGAATGGGGAATAGATTCATGACAAGAGAGGGAAAGAGAGTAACCCAACCTCGGAAACAGTTTATTCAAAAGGTTATTTGAATATGCCAGCCATGTTTCCCTGAAGTTAAACAGAATCTATGCTGAACTGTGTAAGAAACAGAATAATAAGTCTTTGGGCGGGCAGGTGGAAGAAGAAGTAAAGAATCAAACCAATTGTGCAGGGACTTAATGCTGCAGCTAACTCAGATACTGAGCTAACCGCTGGGGTATAAACAGTGATGGAACCCCGATCTCTTACTCAAGGAGCTCCTCATCTACACAGCCATAACCATCTACCAGGCTGCCAAGATCAAAGAGGATAACATAGGTTTTACAAAATATGTTCTTGCTCAATATATACATTAAACACTCTATTCACAATATACATGACATGTTTCTCACCAAAAAAATGCATACTCAAAAACTACCATACATGTAGGTATCTGAATTGTGGGTGGAAGCTCAAATGAGATACATATGTGAGGGTCCTGGAATGAGCTGTGATAAAGTAGAGCAGACATTCAAGTGCTTCACCTTGTTACGGGTTTCACTGTCTTCATTTTTAACCAAAATTAACAAGCCAGAGGCTACAAGGCAAAGTTGCATTACTCCTTTAACATTTTTGATCTTTAAAATTTATCAGTAACATAAGCCATGGCTCAAAGTCTACAGAGCAGTGCTTAACATTAAGTTCAAGGTTAATATTAGACCCTTCATGAAGAAACTTGGAAACGTGTTACAGGGTTTCAGCCTAGGCTGAAAAGAATTCTCTGACTTTCACAGGTGATAACTGGGTTTCAGACTTTGGGGAAGACTATTCAGATTTGAAGATGGAGATTGAAAACTTGATGATACCACCTTTTATGAGTTTTCTTTGTGTTGCATAACCATGATTTTCACTGAAATTCCATTTTCTATTAGAATTCACTGACATTTCTTTCCTGCTGACTTCTGGATTTATATATTTTATCTGAAATTTATCTTTAAACAATTTTTTTTTAATGTTTTATTTATTTCTTAGAGAGAGACAGCATGAGCAGGGGAGGGTCAGAGAGAGAGGGAGACACAGAATCTGAAACAGGCTCCAGGCTCTGAGCTAGCTGTCAGCACAGAGCCCAACGCGGGGCTTGAACCCAAGAAGCATGAGATCATGACCTGCAAAGTCGGATGCTTAACCGACTGAGCCACCCAGGTGCCCCTAAGCAATATTTTTTTAATGTTTCTTTCTTTTTGAGGGAGAGAGAAAGACAGGCAGAGTGTGAGCAGGGGAGAGGCAGACGGAGAGGGAGACACAGAATCCAAAGCAGGCCTCAGGCTCTGAGCTGTCAGCACAGAGCCTGATGCGGGGCTCTAACTCACTGACTGTGAGATCATGACCTGAACCGAAGTTGGACACTTAACTGACTGAGCCACCCAGGTGCCCCTAAAATATTTATCTTTAAACATACATGAGCATATTTAAATTTCTTCAGATGTGTTATTTTGCTATGTGCTTTGTATGAGTTTTTATTGAAATAACTGTCCACTTTTACTATGGCCATCTTTGTTAAAAGAAAAACTTAAATGTACTCCATTTGGTGGTGTTGGGTTTTTAAATAAATTTGCTTTCATTGCATATACTGGGGGAGTTTAGGCACATTAATCATTTCCCAATAAATTTCATGCGTTTTATTGCCTGCCATGAACACTGATGACAGCATATTTTATTTTAGCCTCTCTTTTCAGGGTTAACAGGAATATTGCTGCATCTTCACAACTGATGATTTCCTACAAGATTCTAATACATTGTATATCACTTTTACATGATAAAACCTTTGCTCATAGTTTAAAAACACTTAAAATATGTGTGTAAAGTACCCAATTTTCCAAATGATTTTCCTGTAGAATTGGAATGCATCTTAAATACTTAACTGTTTTTTATAATGTATTGTCAAACTGGTTTCCATACAACACCCAGTGCTCATCCCAACAAGTGCCCTCCTCAATGCCCATCACCCACTTTCCCCTCTTCTCCACCCCCCATCAACCCTCAGTTTGTTCTCAGTCTTTAAGAGTCTCTTGTGGTTTGCTTCCCTCCCTCTCTGTAACTTTTTTTCTCCCTTCCCCTCCCCCATGGTCTTCTGTTAAGTTTCTCAAGATCCACATATGAGTGAAAACATATGGTGTCTGTCTTGTAGCAACGTGGATGGAACTGGAGCGTATTATGCTAAGTGAAACACTTAACTGTTTTTTATGCTACAATAACAGTACCTATGGAATTAACCAAGATTAAAAATACCAGCACTGCTCGGTATTGGCAAGGGCATTCTCACGCACTGTTGGTAGGAATGTAAATTGGAATACTCTGTCTACAGGGCAGTTAAGGAAGAGTTAAGCAGTATTCATGGCAAAAAAAAAAAAAAAAAAGGGGAGAAACACTTTTAACTTGGCAATTTTACATATAAGAATTCACCCTGGTTGTTTTACTCATCTCAGTTTTGATTGACAACTGCAAAAAATCAGAGTAATATGATTGTCAATAACAGGAGACTAATTCAATAAATGATTGGCACAGCCACACAATGGAATTTTATGTAGCCATTTAAAATGGGCTGTTAGAAATAGATTTGGTGACACAGAAAGGTGGTCCTGACACAACTGTATCTCTGGAATAAAAGAATTTGTCTCAAACGTTACACATGTGTGTGTTTGTGTGCGTATACATGTAAAGAAAAAAGTTAGAAGAGTTGTTAGTTAATTTTGTTGAGGTATTTTTCTTTCCTCTTGTGTGAATGTTCTTATTTTTATATAATTTTATATAATTTATTTTTATATAATGTTTTTATTATTACGTAATTTTATATAAGAAGCGTGTATTGCTTTTATAGTTAAACATTATGTAAAGAACACCCTGCTATTTCTGGGCACATACACTTTGAACCGATGTGACCCATGCGACAGTGAATCTGACCAATGACCGCCTTCCCTCCCAAACCCAGTCCTCCCAGCTGGTGTTCCCCCACCACAGGGGCCAGGGTCCTGCTCACCAAGCTGTCCTGGATGCACGGGGTCTGCACGAGCCTCTGGACTGCGTTCTCCGTGATGACTCCCAGCCAGTTGAGCGCTGCCCAGTACCAGAGGTAGTCATGGCCACCATGCCAGAAGCTCACAAATGCAAACGTCAGTGCAGTGGAAAACAGTGTCCCCAGCAGGCCATGCTGGGACCCACCTACGGGAATGTACACATACCTAGAGAGAGAAGAGGCTATTAGAAGCCATGCGGTGGGCTGTCCCTGCAATACCACCGGTTTCTGCACTCGATTCTCCTGTCACACATTGTTATTGAGCAACTGAAGGCCCTTCCCGACTGCCAGGAGGCTGCAGAGCTCTCCTTGAATTCTCTAACACTCAAGGAACTGGCAAGAACACAGGCCTCCATTGTGAGGGGCTTTAGGTTAAATGAACACGCAGGCTCATTGCTGGAACAAAGGAGCACTTACAAGAGGCAGGGTAAGGCGTAATGAATTCAGTTTTTAAAAGGGGAGTCCCCAAGCCTAGAAGCCCAAACACAGAATGACAATTAAGCTTCCAGTTACATGGGGACACCAACCTTCAAGACAGATACATATCATACAGCTCAAACTATTATATTTATGGTAAGCCCAGTATTTAGGCACAACTGCTGCAATTAGGCTCATAAATAACAGAAGCTAGGAGCAGAAGAGAGGTGCTAAGACTGGTTGCCCCAGCTTTCCAGGCAAGTTGCCCGCAAGGAGTAGTGACCTTCCAAGAGAAGAGCTCTGTGCTCACAGGTTTAGTGAATTAGTGCCCAAAATGCACAGCCAACCCCTGGGTATGCTTTCTACTGCTGAGGTAACCATCTGACCACATATAAGCAGGACCATCTTCCTCAATCAGTATTTTCTCAGTCGGGTTGGATAAAACCCACACCTTGGGTTGTGAGTTTTTTTTTTAAGACTGCTTCATTTTGGCCATCTAGGAATATATCCTCCTTGAAGCAGACTTTTTAAAAAGCCCACAGAATGGGGCGCCTGGGCTCTCAGTTTGTTGAGCATGACTCTTGGTTTTGGCTCAGGTCATGATCCCAGGGTTGGGGGACCAGGCCCCATGTTGGGCTCCGTGTTGAGCATGGAGCCTGCCTGGGACTCTCTTTCTCTCTCCCTCTGCCCCTCTTCCCTGTTCTCTCTCTCATTCATTCATAAATAAATAATAATAAATATAAAATAAAAATAATAAATAATAAATAAATAAATCCCATAGGCTAGTCAGTGCTTCTTTGTCCAAACTTCTTCCAGGAAGAAAAATGAAATCATCATTTCCTGAAAACACAATGTGTTCCAGGCACAGCCCTGGACACTTTACTCGAATTACTTGGTTTGAGTCTTTGAAGCACCATAGGGTTTACATCTGCTGTTCCAGCATGCCAACCAGTTTATAATTTGTCCTGTTAATATCTTAATGATCTGTATGAAATGCTATTTTGAAAATCATTTTTGAATAGAACAGTTTTATAGACAAGTCACACAATAAAAATGAAAACCACTCCTCCATCGATAAATATTTCAAAAACAACCAAAAAACTATTTGTAAGTATTTTTAATACCCTCCTTCACTCTCAAATGTATTCCAGTCTAGATAAAATTACATGATCAGTTTCAACAGCCCCATTTTGTAGGTGAGAAAACAGGCTGAGTAGTTAGTTTGACCAAGGCACACATCCAGGAGGGGGAGGAGCCTAGATGCACACCTGTGACTACAGCGCCCGAGCTCGTTTTCTACTACGCCCATATCTTCCACTCCAGTCTAAAACCAGAAAGCATGTGAGAATGTATCCATTTCAGAAATAAGTGGAGCAAATAAAAGGCTTTTTCTTGTGCAAAAACAAGTCCATCTTGACAACTGAATTAACAAATATGTATCGAGCACTCAATACAGATTAAGGGATCCTCCATCTGCTGTCAAGCATTTATTTAGGCCTCCAAGGCAGTCTTGGCATTATGGGAAACACAGAGACATAAAACATTGTTTCCTGCCATAAAGAACAGGTAGAGCTGGTTGTGAAACAATAGCAAACAAGTCCCAGAGGTGGGCTATATGATATGGTCCAAAGCAGACCAGGAGAGTTTAAGAGTGTGGAGGAGAAGCGAGTGAGTACAGGCAAGTGGACCCTACCCTGGCAAGGCCAAGAGGATGAGTTTTTCTAGGCCAAGGGGAGAAGGGTGGGCACTGCATCATGGACCTAGAAGGTCTGGGCAATGAACCAGAAAAGCCTGACCACCGGAGGCACAGCAGTTTTCTTCAGTGCTCTGCTGCCCTCTAGCGGTTGCTTTGTTATTGGTGTAGGATATTCCTCAGCAGAAGCAAAAAATGGGCCATAATTCTCTACAGCCTCCTACCTGCATGGAGGTAGCTGCTACCCCAGCATGGCGCTCCATGAGGCCATGCTTCACCGGATACAGTGTTGTGTGTAAGAAGGCTGCAGAGAGCAAGAATGAGAGGGAGAGAGAGGGAGTTGGACAAACCAATGTCAAAATAACAGCTCTTTACGGCAACTGTGCAGATAATTTTATAAAACAATACTAATACTCTTCTCACCCAACATAACTATTTCATGTTGACCTTTTTACTGTATCTATGTTAAGGTGAGCTGCACTATAGATATAAGAAAACCTAGTATGGGGGCATCTGGGTGGCTCAGTCGGTTAAGCATCTGACTCTTGGTTTCAGCTCATGTCATGATCTCATGGTTCATGGGAGTGAGCCCTGTATTAGACTCTGCACTGACAGTGCAGAGGCTGCTTGGGATTCTCTCTCTCCCTCTATGTCTCTACCCCTTCCCTGCTCACTCGTGCACTCTCTCTCAAGATAATTTTTTTTTTAAAAAAAAAAAGAAAGAAAGAAAACCCAGTGTAGAATAAAAGCCTCTCTCTCATCATCCACACCAGTGGTCCCTCATACTGGATTCCACTCCAAGAAGGATTTATTCTCACACTTGTGACAAACAAGTGTCTAGCCCCATAATTATATGCACAGCTATTTTAGGGATTCTGCACTATGGCTTTGTAATTTGGCCTTCAAAATGACAGCCAACAAAAATCTGAGAATTCTTTGTATTCTTGAAATTCATATACGATAGGTCTCCAAAGATATGAGGTTGCTTATTTTAAACCAAAGGAGGGTATGGTTACCAGACTGGAAGATAAATATCCTTTCTTCACTCTTAACTTCTAGAAGGGAGTGGGTGGATAACAGAGGAGAGTAACAGGTTATTTTCTTCCATAAATTCTGCCAGTCTTGTGTCGGTTCCATGATTAATAAAAACAGAATATGTTTCTTTTAAAAAAGCAACTGGGTGACCCCACTTACTGAGATCCACTGCACAGTGAAATTGATTTCCCAAAGGAAGAAAGCTTTCAGTACCACCTTCTCAGCAAAGCAAAAACATACAAAGATTTTTCTTGCCAGTGACCGTGAGCTTGGGTCTGCACTGGGTCTCCCCCTGCCAGGCGGCCTCATGCAGTCACTTCTCGCAAAGAGCATGGCTTGAAGAAGTTAGCAGCCCGCCACAGCCACCTTCTTCATTCAAAACCATCTCTCAGAGTCAGCGTAAGAGAGCAAATCCCCAACTCAGAAGGAGGAACTTATATTAATAATGTCCACCTTTTACTGAATGTCCGTGAGCCAGGTGCTTTATGTATACTATTTCTAATCATTACCACCACCTAACAAGGAACTAATGACCAGGCCTGTTTTACACAGGAGAGGTGAAATCCGAACCTAGGATGTTCCGGTTTCAGAACTCCCAGGCTTATGCCCTCATATGCCATTTTTTATTGTGATCAGAGCATTTCGTGGTGATATGTTCCTCTTATTTTACCAGATCTTCAACGCAGTCTCCACGAACACATTCACCAATATTTTATCAACTGAAGAAATGTCCTTTGCAGGAAAGGAATCTTGCTGGGGAGAAAGATGCTTATTGTTTACAAGGAACACTGTGCCAGAAGTCCAGAGGTAGAAGTTCAAATTTTAAACAGACCAACTTGTTTCCTTCTGTCCCACAAGCTGAGAGGACACGCTCTATCTTGACTACACCAGCATCCTGCAGATGTCTGACTACAAAGGAAGAGGGGCATAAGAAGGAGATGGTTGGGGGGCTGTTGCTGAGTAGGTCTATGTGAAGGGAGAAGAAAATATCTCTCTCTCTCAGATCCACTATGAGAAACAACTCAAGAATACGTCTTACAGTAGAGGAGAGGGGTGATGAGAATCCATGTGGTAAATACATTCATCTAAAGCCACAACACTCCCTTTTCCCAGGACCAACACAGCAGCTCTCCAGCGTGTCCTATGACCTTCAAATCCTTTGCTGAGGTGCAATGCCAGACCACCCTCTCGCCGCCCGGAGGCAAGACGGTGGGGCACCTAGGATACTGAGCGACTTGGTTCTCACTCTCCCATGGAAAGAGGTGAGGTGGGCTTGCGGGTCCCCGTGTTCAATGACCTGCTGTTTGGCAGGCTGAGATAGGCAGTGACTGTTACCGCATTCCAGCTCTTCCAGATCCTTCTATCCTTATTTACCACTGGCTGTCTTGGCAAATCACGAAATCCTGAACAAATGGGGCTTTCACAGCTCTACGCCTTTGTATGATGAAACCTCTCTGGTTTTCCAACTCCTATTCAGCCTACAAAATTTAGTGGTTTTTCCATCTCCTCCAGGAAGACTCTGTTAAATATTCCCACTCTTTATTTAACCCAGAGAACCTACTGCTTGTACCACTGACTAAACAGTCATTCATCAAAAGATGTCTTTTCTATTAGGTTGTCATTTCAACTAAGCTGTAAGATTCTTTCAGCAGTACTAGATATGTGATGCGTGTACATGTATGCAAGTGTTACCATACAGTTCCTAATTAACAGTAAGTATGTACCAGCAACCTAATTTTCATAGACTCCAATAGCTTTTAAACTTGTGATAAATTGTCACCACTGCCACAGACCAGCTCTGTGCAATTAGGAACCAAAGGAGGACTGTAGGGTCCTGCCCCAGTTACTGGGAGAAACTTCACAAGACACCTGTTCCTAAAGAATACAGACACTTGAATGACCCTGGAGTCTCTCCACACTTTGTAATCCCTATTAGGGCCAAAGCATGTGGCCCCAACCTCAGGAGACTTGACACATGGCAAGTACTAGCCCTATAGAGACTAGAGCCTTTAGTTACTGGG